TATATATATAAAAACAATTTAATGGTAGAGAGGGGTTAATAATATAAGACACGCTCATGGGGCTCATATGACACCGAACATTAGGAATGACCCATTTGATGAATGCTGAGCATGTGTTCACTCATCTCCTGTTTGATAAGCATCAATTATCAGTCCAAGATACTGCATACACAGACTCACCTGTCAGTGCTCGGTCATCATCTTTGAACACAGCCATCCTGGTCCTGTGTAGCGTTTTAAAAACGCCCAGAACCTGTATTCACAAACAGGCAGCTTTTATAACAGCTGTGAATGATGCTACCAGTCACCTGCAATTTCAAGTAACATGCAAGCAATGTTGCAATAAAGGTATTTAAAAAGACGATAATATCCCATACTAACCTTCAAACGAGTGCCCATGTTGCCTTCTTGTGTTCACTTCCGATGTAGGGAGACGTCACATATGTCAGAGCCCAATCAGAGCCGACGCTGGAAATGAAGCTGTGATTGTAGCCAATGAGGGCTCGGAGTAGTTTCACTGAGCTACTAATTCGATTGAGAACGGCCTCTCTGTAGATTTCCCATTTTATGGGGGGCACTGGTGAGCTGTGTTTTGTGCTGAGAGCTCCCTTCGGACACAAAAGTGTAAATGTTGTGGTGTATATAATCCATTTCTTGGATATTTTACAGGGTTCTGTTGGAGTAAAAAGAACTTTCTGGACGGCACCATGAGTCACTTTTATGGCTACTGCCGTCTTGAATAGGGGAGTGAAGCTAGCAGCTAGAGAAAACTTCTAACGTTTCTTATTATACACATGTTTTGTATTGTTTTTTGGTGTGGTGTAACTGCTCCTCTAACGTCTATGGATTTGTGCACTCGTAAAAGCTAGCATTTATTAACATTTCACTTGCACAACGATGTTTTTCATTGTACTAAAGAATAAAGGACACGAGTCTCGTTTTATTTAAAGTCGGGTGTATAATCGAAACCGTGTTTGCGAAAAATAAATAACTTAGTAAGTTTTTAAATCAGGAAGTAGGTGTAAATAATTACTTTCACCATTTAGCTTCGTCCACGCTTATCCACGGAGGGACGTGCGCCCTCTGCTGCCCCTCTGTCTGAACTGCAGCCTGTACAGTGGCATTAACAGGAATTGGAGTGGCTCTTATCATAGATCGGCTCTGATTTTAGTGACACTGGAAGCTGCGTGGGGGAGCCGTGGCTCATCTGCGTCAACATGGCTGATGAAACGGCGAAAGCGCAGACCGCCAAGCCGGGCGGAGATACGATATTTGGAAAAATTGTACGCAAAGAGATTCCTGCCAACCTAATCTATGAAGACGATCAGGTATGCGGTCATCACTTTGATTCACGAGGACGTTTAAAGTCTGAATGTTTCTCATCGTGGCTCCGCAACTGCCTGCAGGAGGCGTTCAGCTAATGCTAACTCAGCGTTGCAGAAACGCTGTTTTTGTGCCTACTTGCATTTAAAAATGCTGCAGCAGAGCTTGCAGAAATCATGTAATGCATCAGAAGAATCTGCAAGTTTATAAAATAGCCATATTTGCTGCAACACAGCGTCTGAAGTTACAGATAGTTGGCTTTGCACCAAGAAGTGACAAGGTTCACTCCAGTGCTGTTTGCGGACTCGTTAAACATGTAGCCGCTGTAGGCTAGAGCAAGACAAGGAAAATTAAAAGGTGAGGTTCCTACAATAAAGCAACATCAAGTGATTTGCAGCAGACATTAGTGAAATGGGGAATCAAAGCGTTAAAAAAAAAAAAAAAAGCAATATTTATTTTTATTTCTAAGTTTTGGAACTGCTTTGTATTCCCAGTGGAATGAGCTATAGTTGATGACTCCAGATAATTTATATCTGTCATGTTTACAGATTCCACATTTTTGTACGCCTTAAATGCAACAAAAACATGTAAACATTGTGTCACATTAAGGCTTGGGCTGTGCCACTAGTTGAATTTTAGTTGCAATTTTGTCGAAGTCGACATTTGTTGTTGTGCCCCATTCTGCTTTCTTTGATGTGTTTCAGATATTTGTGACAGAAAGATAGCAGCAAGATTGAAAGGGAAGGTTTACAAGATGACAGTGAGGCCTGCTGTGATGTAGTGTTCGTAGACAGTGGCACTGACAAAAAGGCAGGAAGTAGAGCTAGAGGTGCAGATGAGATTCTTCATTGGGAGTGATGAGGAGGTACAGAAATGAGATTTAATAAAGAAGAACATGCAGAGGGTTGGTGTGACAGAGGAGGATGCTTGGAATAGGGTGGAGGCAGGTTATCTGCTGTGGGGAAGAAAATGAGAGTGACTCATGATCATCTCATTTAGAGCTGAAATTACAATTAGAGTTGATGGAAATTGGCCTAAAAAGGACAATTTTATTCCTGTTTTTTTTTTAAAGTTTAATAAATCTGTTTTTCCAAAATGTGTGTTTAAAATTTTCAGTATTGACCAAATATTCATGACTATGACTTTGAGATAAGCAAGCAGCCTTAATGTGTTTAACTCCAAATACTGGGGTGTGCATAAACACGTAAAACTATCTAAGTACTATTAAGACCTGAGTTATTATCATTTTTTAATTATATTTTTATTTTTTGTTTTCAGCTAACTTTCAGTTATTTCCCATTTTGATT